ATGAGTGCCTGCACCCCTGCAAGTCAACGACACTTTTCCCTCCCTTTTCACTCGGTCGGACTCTCATCTTCACCGCCGGGTGATTGAGCCATCCGATTGGCAGGAACTGCAAACATGGGGTGCCTCAGGGTTGTCCGACGGCTGGCCATATAAGCCGAATACTGTTGTACATTGCTCTATTCCTTTTCTCTTCTCATGAAATTTAAATGAACCTCCGTCTTTCCTGCAAGAGCACATCTCTTCACTACAGAGAATGGGTACAGTGATGAAAGCCAGCTACCAGACGAGACCGGCCAGACCCGGTCCCCACAAACTGCAGGCAGCGGTGGGATCCTCCTAACCCCCTGAGGGTCAACACCGCTTAAGACAGGGAGAACTCGAGAAATCGAAATGGCACCGTCTGATTTCACTGACGAATCTGTGAGAAGGATTTGGACCTTTCCCCACAGCTTTCGCTGTGTTACGCATACAGGAATCATGCAGACGCTTTCCTGCTTCCCGGCCCAGGCCCAAGCGGGCTGCGACGGAGGCACGGAGGATCAGTCAGTGAGGCGTCAGTTAGTGAAGTCTGTTGCTTAAGGGATAGCATGGTTCGCTCGACTGGAGGAAACGTGTTTGATGATGTAGTGCAGTCAGTCAGACTGTTGAAAAGTAGCAACAGATGATACCTTAGGACCAGTGACAAGTTTTTAAGAGGGTTGCCGAGGAGATATGTGATCACCTCCTACTGCTAAGAACGAACCATCAGCGCTGCTGTCTAGGTGGCGTGAATCGCCAAGCTGGTGAATATGATAGGAGCTTCACACAGACCAGCGTATCAAGACCCAGATATGGCGCGGAGCTCGTAGTGAACATCCGAATTGTTTTGATTACGATAGCGATGTCTAAATCAGTGCTTGTTCTTTCTGAAGTCAATGATTGCTGCATTTCTGTTTCTGCAAATAATAAATACAGAATGTTCAAGCGAAGTGGTCTTGCACGGCAGTTGAACCGAACGAACACATGCTTAGGCTACGATAACTTTCATCGTTGACCATTGTCCACATGATCGAGTACATTTAACGGGCGCCTATATGGCAGAACGAAAGCTTGAGAACAAGAAGTTACTAGGCTTGTGCGAATATTCGAATGCTTCCAATGTTCGAATGAATAATGCAGCATTGAAATCCGTTGAATATCTAAAAATTGAAAATTTTGAATTGTTCGAAACTAATATGTGCATATTAGTCTGCACGTGACACCTTGTAAATGTGGTTGCACTACAGTGAAGCAGTGCCCAGCCGTGAAAGCACCTGTCTTGTCTAGGTGTATATTAGTTCGCATGTAATCCTTTTAAAAAATTGGTTTCACTGCGGTGAAGTAGTGGAAGCCATGAAAGCATATGACCGGGGTGAGTGAGTGAAACAACTTTATTGACGATTTGGCATAAAGGTGGAAGGGGTAGGGGAATATGACCGGGGAAAATTCTCAATGCCGCAAAGTCCTAATTAAAGGTTAAGTGAGGATATTACCCTCACATTGATTTATTTTTTGAGTTTAAAACCTTGTTATACCAACTTATATGCTGTGAGTATAGCACATTTTGAAAATTGACATATTTTACAGGCTATATCATTTGCGTTCTACCGAAAGTCAAACCCAGCTAACATTCAAAGTTGTTACCGCTTGTTTTGATGCAAAAGATGGTGTTTGCACAGGCCTTGTTTTAATTTTTAAAAAATATTGTCCAGGTTAGCTGGGTGCTGACAGATCTGCCCATTTTTCTTCATATTATCGAATATAATGCTCTTCAAATTCTATTCGTATTATTCGAACATAATCAACACGCGCTTCGCACCTAAGATTCATTATTCACACAAGCCTAGAAGCGATGCATTAACTCGGACAATGTCCAAGCGGCTCGTCTGTCCCAACGCACAGTAGTGATCCATTGCTTCCGTCGCTCTTTTTTGTAGGGCCTTGCAGTAAATGAGTAAAACAGTGTGGGGGCGAGTCTTTTGTAGGTGTTGAACACTCGACCCAGAGCCATTATTCGACATGCCTAGAAGTTTCAGCCAGCACACATATGAACATTGTTGCTATTTTCTAACAGGAACTGAAACGCGAAATACGCGGTACCACACGTACAACGACGTAAATAACAACGGTTGTCATCTGCTTACTTTCCCCAGAGAGATGAGCAAGTTTGCCAACTACGCCGCACAAACACTCATTCAACATGTGGATGTCCCAACCGTACGAATTGTTTATACTGTTTACTGTTTCCATCATGTGGGCGCTTGCCAAAGACAGAGGCAGTGGAGATATAGGGTCGTGGGGCTCACAGAAGCACGAGTGGGGTCAGACGGCTTAATGGGTCATAGAAGCCCATTGCATTTTGTACCAAAGTTCCCTTTTTCAAGCTTTCCGTGTATAGAATGCTTTCAGCTGTTTCCCTCGGTAGACGGTGTTTGGCAATATGTAGAGAGCATGTGGTTGTAGGCTCGGGAGTCACTCGAGTGTCTTTTTTCCTGTACGGGTTATAGTTCTGCTTACGCCTCAGATATATGAATCAGTGGTGTTTCTGTTGCGATGTTGATTCACGGGCCTTATGCTGAATCGCTTGGCAAGCGTTGCTGTGCTTTTAGTATGAATGTTCTTTGGTAGCTGTTTTTGGTTAGTTCCTCAAATAGTGTTTGTTTTTTATTTTTTTAAACGCGCAAGCTGCTACGTCAACTTCTGTCTCTACACACTGGCGTTACTGACCAACTGGACAAATTTCAGGAGGGGAGGACCGGGCCCCCTTGGGCCCCCCTTGCCTACGTGCCTGGAACGCACAGCAGTTGTATTCATTGAGAATTTCGCACGTTTTCGTGTAATCACTTTTGGAAATGTAGCTCAGTAAAAAACTCTGCCTTCCCAGGTGACCACATTGGCTATTCATGCTTTTGACACAGTCACTGTTTATTAGATAGGATGTGCAAACAAGCTTTTGATTCTTTGGCATTTTACGTTTGCCATATACTACTGCAGGAACTGTGGGGCACAGCTGATTACGTTGATTCTGTTAGGTAGTTAGGTATTCACTTTAATCCCAGTACAGTTGATGCAAAATAGGAAATGGATATTAGAGACTAAATGTGTTGTTACTCACAATTGTTCCAAATGACACACAATGATGCTATATTAGGGTCCAGAATTAAACTTGTGCAAATATTCGAATGCTTCGAATATTTGAACGAATAGTACCATATTTTAATTCGCTTCAACTGGAATTTAAATTCTTGAAAATGTTGAAGTATTCGCTATGAACAAATAGTTGTATATTAAACTGCGCATAACTTTTTGTAAAAGTGGTTTCACCGCACCTTAGAGGTGATAAGCCGTGAAAGCAGCTGTTCAGGAGAAATTAGCACTGTGGCGAAGCCTTTTTTTATAAGTTTGAGGGGCCCTGCAAAACTTTTTAAGCATGGTTAAAAACGCTGCCGATCGGAAAGAAAAATCACTCCTCTGCCTTACTCATATCTCTGGAAAATGATCAATACCAATTCACATATTATGTCTATGCTTGATTTGTCATTCCTGAGGGGATAGTGATTGTTACCTTTGAAAATATTTTTCCTTACGTGCCATCTATATTGCTTTCATCTTAAGTATCAAGACTTGTTACCTTGCATGTTGGGTGTTTAACATCTCCCTCTTGGAAATGTTTGTATGGTCCTTATATTCATCTATGAAGAGTATTGGCTTGTGCCCCTTCATCTGCATTGCAGAACATTTCATATTGTCACATGGTCGTGACGTGGACGAAGCAGCACCTCTATTTGGTGGGGGTGCTGCTTCTATAATATATCGGACAATCCATCAAGTCGTGTACACAGCACCTCCACCAGATGTCACGTGGTCGTGACGTGAACGAAGGGAAGTCTCTCGATGCTAAGATAAAACTGTTTATTTGGCCGAACTTGTGGCCAGGAACTGAAGGTCAGATTACAGCAATACACGGGCAGTGATAGCGGTGAACAGAGCGTCGGCCGTCAATCAACTGACAAGCGGTGAAGTACAGCGGTATTTATACACTTGTCATCTAATATTCTAGAGTTATCGCTAGCAGCCATGTAGGTTCCTGAATAATCTGTAATGTTCACGAAGTGGGCGTGAACTTAACAAAATGATCTACTATAGTCCCAAAGCTTCTCGAACACTGCATGCGCAGTTTACGCTGAGAATTACGTACAGTGTCACGGGTCAATAACGAAACTTGAGGAAGGTACAAGGCAACATTTGCTTGGTGAGACTCCAACAGCTCTGCAATCTTACAAGCAGTGCAGCATAGTAAAAAGAAGGGTCATTCTGGCCTCAAATTTCGCATCGTCCAATTATGTTGTCCCATGTAAAAGCTCATAAAAATTACACTGTTTTATCTGGAGCATGCAGTCCCTTTTTGTAGTTTGTGCTAGAGCTTGAGAATTCCGAATTTGAGTGCAAGAAAAAGAAAAAGAGAGAGAGAGAACTGTTCCGCACTCAAATCGCAGCATGAGTTGCCACACAAATTTCTGCTATGCCCTATTGTAGAAAAACAAGCTAAACTTCTTGGGGCTCGTTTTACTTGTGATTACTGGGGCATGAGGGATAGGCATCAGTGTGACAACTTTTGTAAACTCAATATCACAACAGCAGAAAATGCATTCATTGGGTGAAAAAGGCCCTCTTTCTAAAATAATGTTTTCTTAAAGTGCTACAACTATACATAATCATCTCCTGAGTAAGCGGTAGCATATATGTGTGATTTGAAATTCAGGACTTGGCAACGGAGCAAAGCGAGCATTTCACAAGAGAGAGCATTGATCCAAAATGAACAGTGAGCAAAATGCATGAACTCACTTCCAGCGATTCAGTTGATTAAAACTTCGTTCTGTTTGAAGAGAGAAGGGGTTAATTTATTCCTGGAGTGGTTTGCCACCAGTGTTGTGATACGGCTGTCACGAGTTCTGTCACCTGTGACTGTCTCTCATTGACAGGTGACTTTGATGTGAGCTCGATGACAACAGTGCTGAGAGATAAGGATAGCGGGATCTGTCGGGGCACCGAGCACAAGCGACCGACTGCTGCCAGTCAGGTAAATGGAACCATTGACTATGTACTGGCACACTCCTTGTAGATTTCGTGGAGTCGAATTCATTGGTTGTGAGCTGAGGGGGTGTGCTATTGCCGTCTATGGCCGTATTGCAGTCAGCTGTTCTTCCCCTGCGGAATGAGTGTGTAGGAAATCCAAGCTTTTGCTGTTTTTCTTTCTCGAGCATGCAATGGAACTTATGCGAAATTGCTGCCATCTGTCGGAGGTTTGCCGAAGCTATCGATTCGGTGCTATGTCGGTGATTTGTGTCCGAATCGTATTGTAGTCGCTGCTACTCTTGCCTTTATTGTCTTTGATAGTGAGCATTTGGGGCATAAAAATGTCAGACGAGTCTGTGAGGGCTTGTACACGCCGCTAGCGTTTTTATATAGTTATTACGTACGTCTATAAGTTTGTCACTGTGTGGAAGGTACAAGTTTGTCACTAAGTCTCATGTACATTTGCTTTCATTGAGAATGAAGCTTTGTGCCAAGTTTTTGTTTGTCGAATAAAGCATTCTTAGCTATTTGAATATTGCGCGTGTAGTGTATTATAGTTGGAACGATGCTTTAGTGTGTGACGCACCTACGCTATTTGTAGCATTACTGTATGATTAAAATGTAAAAAATTTCTGCATCTTACACATGGAAAAAGCGAACATGACAACTGTTTATTGTTTTAAGAAATAAATGCCGATTAGCTGGCATTTTATTCAGTATATGCTTTAAATATGTGCTTCTAAATAAAATGACACATCGCGATGCAGCTACATAGCTCGTACACGAAGTCAGTTGGTCTGTGCCTACACTACATGGTGGAAAAACTGTGTTGTTCTGGCACAGCATGAAAGAGTGTTTCTGAGGAGTATTGATGCTGTCACTTGCCAGATTTAAGAATGGTTAACGTAAATGCAGCGTTAGCAGTAGCCGGAACGATCTGGCACTTCTCCTCGGTCATGAGGAAATCTCATAACATAGAGGCTATAGTTTTCTGCAGACCTTTTTTTTTCAGCATTCCAATTTTCCAGTCTGAGCAGCGTGGCACACAAAAATGTGTTAGCATTGCTATTTCTGTCAGTCACCACATGTTGATATGTGCACTGTGCAAGTGCGCATGCGGAGTGCGCTTAGACTTTAATGTAGTGGAAATCCCCATGGCGGCCGCTAGGTGGCAGCAGATTTTGCATTAGGTCTATAGCACTGTACAAGCAGCATATGTCACAAATCCAAGCTAGCTGGTGGCATCGTGCAAGTTATACAACGTTTCCATTTTCATGTTGCAAAGACCTTTAATTTGATAAGAGCCAATGTTACTCGCTTTGAATTGAGGTCAGAGCTTTGCAGCCTTCTTTAAAAAATGTTGGAGAAGTGTCTTTGGAATTAACAATCTGCATTTTTTTAGCCATTCTATGTACAGAATAGGATGGTTAGCAGAATTTAAGGGGCCACTCACCAGGTTTTAGCATTGCAAACAATCTTGGTACTTGCATCACTCCGTTGGGATTCTATGTGTGAAGTACAAAGTGCCCACATGCAGCAAGAATGCAGCAGATTTAAAATAGAAGGCCAGGCAGGCTTTCTCTCTGGGAGAGGGCCATGTTTTGAGAGAGAGTGAAAGTCCCATGCACACACTTACTGCACAACAGATGCACTTTTCTAATGGAACATGACTTTGCGGCTTCATGCAATCCAAAGAAAACTGTGACACCATTGGAAATGCCGCATGGAGCAAATTAAAAAGGCAGGAACAAAAAAAAGTAGCGGGGCTTGTCACTTCAGCATGACGTACTACTGTGCTTCGAGCACCTGAAAAGCAAGGCAGGCACATGCAGCGTCTAAACTGGAAGCACTATGAGACGCAGGAAAAAGCTGAATGTTCCTGCTGCTTTAGCAGACAGCCTTGAATATAGATTTATGGCCTGTTATGAAACACGCTAACGATGTGAACTGTGCCGTTCGACCGCACACACTCAAAATTCTTGGGAAATTTCAAGTTTTATGAGACCCGTAGTCTTTAAGCTTTCGATACCTACTTTGCACAGCTTGCAGACACCAGCTGAGGCAAAGGCAAAAAGTTATAGCTTTGGCAATAAAATTTACCTGCTTGAGCCTTGGGAACAGGCTAATTCTGTTTCATCAAATTTACTTGCGAAAAATGATTTCAGTGAAATCCTCCCTGGACAACACCTTGTGACTTCCACTGTATGACTAAATTTTGAAGTGTTGCCTAGAAAGGGGTACTTTAAAAATGATGTGCTCAATAATGTGTGCAATTACGGCTTGCTATACAATGTTAAAGTGCTGTAACTTGCATTGCGTGGCACATCTTTCAGGTTTCGGTGCTTGCTCCTGCTTCAAGCAAGAGGCTCTCCTGTCACTGGTTCACGGGCACACCTGACCCAGCACACTCTGTGTTCAAGCCTTTCATTTTCTGTGACCACGTGCTTCCTTCGCGACACATCGTCTCGCCTGTGTTCGAGCACGACCCAGCGAAGGTATGGTCTGCTCCTTGCTCGAATTTTTTTTTGTAAGCTAACTTTTTTTTTTGTGCTGCTAGTTGTGCATTCTCACCTCACAAAATGCCATCATTTTCTCTACTTTGTGCATCTATTGGTCACAGCAGGTGAGACTGAAGAAACTTAGTTCGAGTCATATTTACCACACACAAATACTTGATGCCAACCACTAATGCATGAGTGCATTTCTTTGCGCACATTTGTAAAATATGTATCGAATGTGCTAACTGCAGCATTTCCGCATACTAAACTCGGTGTCTTCAGTTTTGAAATATCAACTTGTCATGAAACGAATAGTTGAGGAAAATTATTACTAGTACATCAATAATTATCTATGAGCATAGATGATGTAGATAGAATATTAGAATTGGCTTACAGACTGTACAGCTCACTGTACAGACATACAGTGAGCTGGCCTTGTTTATGATTCTTTTTGCGAAAATAAAAGAAAAAAATTGAAAGCATACAACCTTACAGTTTTCATTAGCTCGTGTAAATAAATTTTTGATCAACCATTTAATGATTGACTGGGATTAGGCGTGAATCAATATATTTATCCAAAGAGAAGAATACGGTCCTAAAGGGACACTAAAGCAGGGGTGCAACAGCTGTGCCTGTTGCGCCAATCAAATACAATTCCCCATTTTTGTGCCGTGCTGCATCAAAACCATAAAATTTGCTGAAATTGCACCACGCTGTGCCAATATGCCCTATCAGCCTCAAAATTTTCTCATTTGCACTAATTTCAGCGAGAAATGGTGGCCACGTACCCTGCCGACCTGCAATTTCATTCATGGATTAATCCAAGTGCGCAGACTCTAACCTTAAACCAACGGTAATCTAACCACGCTAACTGTAATCCTATTAGGTCAGGGCACTCGCGATATGCGATCAACCAGATATAGTAGCAAAGCCATGCACCCATCGGTCCGTTGACCGCTACAGGTACTTATATAAGGCGAGACAACGCAACTTCAAAACAAGAGTGCGTTGCCACAGCCACGAGCGCTTCCTGGGAAATATGAACTTCCTAGTCAGTAAAAGGGGCCATGGCATGTTAGCAACTAGAGCTGGGAGCACATACAGTGTTTTCTTCACGCGAACGGAGTCGACGTGCTGCGAACGCCGGCGTTGTTGGCCAGCGCGTTGGTTGCTATAGCAACGGCACATAAAACATTTTGTGTCTTGAAGTTGCGCAAGCTACATAACTCCGGCGATAGATATCCGGTGCTGTCGCCAGACCAAGGGGCATGCGCCGCTGTTACTTTATCTGGTAGAACGCTTGCAAGCAAGCCGAGATGGTGGGCCCTAAACCTAACCTTCATTGTAAAAAAAGAAAAGAGGAGGGGGGCGGGGGCATAGTGGTGTTCGAAAATTTATTGTCCTTGTTCTAACCCGTGTGGAACCCTGCTTAAAACACCTTCGTCGCAATACACCAGTGGCCTGCGGAAAAGTGTATTATGATTTGGAAGGGCTGTTAGCACTACTCACGCGTGTATACTATGGCATAATTGTGCACAATATAATGATTGATGACGTCTGAAAAAGTTAGTGGTAATCATTTGGGGCAGTGTATGATACTTCTGCCACTCTAAACTAAAAAGTTACAGCATTGCCGCAAAGACGAAGTAATGAATGTGATAGTTAAAATGGGAAGGTCACGCACAGAATGGAAGGCAGATCGACACTTGCCCGCGTTTCTCACGCACAAATCAATTCACAGGCACAGATGCACGCAAATAAGCATCTCAGTTGTTATTTCGCTGTTTCTGAAAAGCGCGCGCTTTTTGCAAACAGAGACGACAATGATTGCAGTGACTTTTGTGCTACCCGTGGTAACTACAACAAAATCGTTCCAGGTAAAGCCCGAGGCCAGCCAAGATGTACGATCCTCCCCTCCTCCCCACCGCGAGATAAGGGTGGGTGAGAGAGCGTTGCTGTCTTCCTTTAAGCGGGACAAAGTACGCACGGGAGACTAGAGCGCGCGTCCCCGCCCGATATGGCGACGCGCCATCTTGCTGGTAATGCTGAAAACACTATAGTCCCCCCCCTCCCCCCAAGATGCCCGTCAGCAGCGGTAAGCGATAGATATAAATAGCTTATCGTTTGAACGGTGAAGGACATGTTCCTCGGTGACTCGGGGGTTAACGCCTCGCACTCACAATTGAGAGGACCCAAGTTCGATTCCACGCGCCAGAGTCTTTTTCTGGATTTTTTTCTTTCTTGCATTTTTATATATAGAGATATGTATACATATACGGTGAGTGACAGCGACGCCGATGTCTATGTCGACAGCAAAATCCAGCCGAGAGTGCCCATATAATTGCTATCGCAATAAAGCCAAACAGCACAAGTGTTTGTTTTGTTTTGTTTTTGCCACCTCTACTTCTCATTTTCATGAATTTTTTGAATTTCAAGGTCGCCAGCTTGGCAGATTTACATTTTAATTCACGGATTCTTTCAAAGAATTCGACAGACACACAAGTGCTAATGCTCACTTTATTATTGTTTGCTCAGTGTGGTAAACCGAAATACTAGTTTTATTGAAACAGCAGGGCTAATCTTTACTCTGCATCATTTAGGTGATGCTGAATGGCTTGAACATACTTTTTTTCTAAATGTAAGCCTTCTTTGCTCCAAATTCGGTCTTTCGTGATAAAAAAAAGTACATTTTTATTTCCTGTAACCTGCTCCAAATTTGCATTTTAGTGCCTAAAAGTAAGATTCTGCTGCTCCGAAAATTGCTCCAAATTCTACTTTGGCTGTTACACCCCTGCTAAAGGCAAATAGCTATTTTTGTAAGGGTGATAGGTCAGTGTTTGAAAACTACTAAAGTATCAGTATTATCGACAACAGTGGTTTGCAAACTGAGAAATTAACATAAATGTAGGACTCGATATGTACAACTAGTGAGATATTTTGAAATGAGCCCAATGATGTCAAGTGTCTTGAGTACAGTTTATCAACTAGTACTTAGTGTACTCATGATAAAAAAAACATTCTGTGTATTACAATGTGTAATAACAATGGTACTTCCACAATTATCTTTGATAGAAAAAATTAACTTGGCATTACTATAGTGAACTGGGCGGCAGGTTCAAAAGTTTCATTTTTACTTCGATGCACTCAACTCACGTGGTCTCGTCTCACTGGTAGGTTGCACTACCATAGTCACATTCTTGTGGCTTTTTTTTTGTTAACTATCTCTCTCTCTTTCTCTCTGTGCCTCTAAACCAAGTGAATCATTCTGTGCTTTCTGCAAAACTCCTCTGAGGTAATGAACATTGTTTTGATGTGGATCACACCAGTAAACGTGGGCTGATTGCATCAAATTTCGGCAGCACGGAGCATCAGTGGCGTAAAAAGAGGCTCACTAAACGGCACCAGCACGAATGCACACGCACTCGTGGGGCGGCAGTATTTTCACAATGATGGGCGCATCGCATTCAGATTTTTGACACTACACAGCAGTGTCCGAGTACCAAGCACTTCGCCAAAAAACATTGCATTGCATTGCAAGGAGCAGCGACCAGCGAGACAAGAATAACAAAAAACAATATTGCGTGTGTTTTCGGTGGAGGCTCAATGTAGCCAGATAACGAAAGGGGCTGGCATAGAGTTCACTAAAGGTGGCATTGGAGAGTGCTTGAATAGCGAGTCTTTGAGAAGCAGGAGGTTCGAATTGCACCAATAGTACGTGGATCACAAAAGTGTGATTTTCTTTCAGACTCAGCATGAATTAAGCTTTTATTTGGCACGATACCAGCACTATGAGGTTTCTGGGTTGATATTTCAAACTTTCATGTCAAGTTCCATTTTACCTTTAGTGTTCCTTTAAGATTGTAATTGATGATGACTATAAGTGCATGAATGCTTTAAATTAACAAAAATGATAATAGTAAACTTATTGCACCAGAGTACGAATTCTAATGACGTGGGTAACAGCGGGAGAGATGGAGCCTGCAAATTCATCAGGTGCCATACCCTGGGAGTTAACGTGAAACGCTAGATTCAAGAGAGGGTCACGTCATACATACCTTATCTGCTAAATGTGTTCATGCTTTGGACACAATGTACTGCTTGCCTATGTTGGCGCATCGCATCAAGAGTACTGTAAATTTTGAAGCTCTTACTCGTACGTTTTTATGAGCCTACAGTTTCATGACTATTCTTCTGCATTGTTCACCGCCAAGATGTGGTTATGCATTTTTCTTGGCATATTATCATAGCATTTAACTATTGTGTGTCAAGAGTCTTGAATGTCTCGTGTTTGCTGACAGTGATTAAGGTGGAAGTTTATTGAGCTTGTGTTGATATCATTTCCTGGCTTAAAGGGAAAGAGTGAAAAGTCTACTACTACTATCAAAGAACTTCAAAGAATTTTTTCCAGTCAAATTTGCCTCATGTCATGATACAAAACGTGATACAAATTCAAACAAATGAACTTCGAGCTGCTTGTTCTCTGTCGTACTTTGTTGCAGCATTCTCTGCATGCGTGCGAAGCTCGTGCTGTGGTCAATTAATTGCCAGATTTTTGCGTCTGGGTACTCAACTGGCTGGCTGTCGTACAGCTATTTGCACTGCTCACATCAGCTGGTCTGAATTATTTTTGTTCGTGCATATTGTAAATTAGTTCTGCAGAAGTTTTGAGGTAAAACAATGTTCATGAAGGGGAAAAGGTGTCGCACTTTAAGCAAGAAACTGTATACCAGTCGCTCCCAAAAGATTTCTCTCTTTCTTTGCTACGTTCACAGACCAAGCCGCGGTTCGAGTTCACCGTCGATCGTCGCCACACCTTGTACCGGCACCATGAGCAGGCCTTGAAGGCTATGCAGGCGGGAAGCACCACAGGCAAGGAGCTGCACGCGCTCATGACAGATCTAGAGGCCAAGTGCATCCGCGAGGTAGACAGCTACCTGGACAATCCCAGAAGCGCTCAAGAGCTCCAGGAGCTCTTCAAGGATGTCGTGGAGAGCGAGATCAAGTTCTACAAGTGAACGGCGGCGTCCCCTTGCACGTGGGGCACGCGCACACACCGCCTCATGCATTGTTCGGCGAGTCACACCAACTGGCTCGTTCGATGCCGTTGCTCCTTTTCTTTACCTCGCTGCACTGCCAGTGTTTCTCAACTCAGGGGGCACCCTGTGTGTTCGGACCTGCGTTCAGGTTGCGGGAGCGCTTTTTTTTATTGAGTTTCGACGAAGCTTTTTGAATTTTTCACTGGTGTTTATTGTAGCAGTTATTATTAAATGCCAGCTAACTAGGCATGACATCGTAATGTTTAGTGTGATACTGCCTTATACGCTTGCATTGCATGGCTGTAGGCTCCGTGTGTGTTGATCTGAAAGCAGACTTAAATGAGCCTTTCTTTGATAGGTAAGGGTATGCTTGTTTCATCTTAATGTTTCGTCGTATGCTCTTATTTGTTGAGGCAGTCTTGTGTGTTACACGGAGGTGACTTATTTGTGCAGTGTTCCTATCGCAAGACTATGATATAGGGAATCAAAGCCCTGCAATGCTTGCCTTTTTTCTAAGTCATCTTGCTTTTCTTTTTCTCCATTTTGAAACAAGGGTCTTAGTGCGTAGTAGGCTGTGTTTCTGCATGCTGTGATATATTGCTTTTGGCGTACTAGTTGTAGCATAGAATCAAAGGCATTTGCTTACGTGTGTTACATTGATGCTGCAGTTCGGGCTCGGCATTTTTTGAGAATGATGTCATGATTTTGGTACTGGCAACATGCAAGATGCATTGCATAAAGGCAGATGGACACAAACCCGTAACCAGTTGATTCCTAGGTTCCCTTTTGGGGACTTCATGAGCAACAAGGAACCACGAGCATTGGTCATGGTTTCTTGTTGCTGAGGTTGCTGGTGTCGGTAAAACTGCCGCGACCCTATAAAACTTTCTCGGAATGCCACAGGTAGTTAGTACCAAAACTCAGCATCGCTGACTACAGTTGTTATGGGCATGATCAAATCAAAGAATTCGCTGAATGATCAAGTACCTCCAACTGCATGCCACGTTTGGTGCGTCAGCAAGGATCTATGATCACGTGGTCAATGCTTTGGTCATCGAAACCTCACTAGTAACTGTTTCTTCAATTTCCAGCTTTAAGGAATGTTAAAGCTGCTTGCCATGTAAAATAAGAAGCATATCTTGAGAGGTAGTTAAACTACAATAAAACTACAATGAATGTGAAATGGCGACAACCTTGAGTGAGTGGAGTTTGCTTACATAGCAATATTTATTTGCATGTATACCTTTGCGAAAGCTTTCATTTTGTAGTCTGATTTCTTGCTCTGGTTTGTTGAGATGGAGACCTGCGGTCATTGCACTTTGATTGAGAAGTGTTCGGCCGTGGTTATGGCAGGTGTTACAAGCTTTTCGCTGCGGCTTCATGTCGTGCCTGCGTGCACTTGCCTAAAGGTGAATGAAATGCTTCCACATTCAGATCGTGTCTTCTTGCAGCTGTGCAAGTCATAAGCATGCTACAGAGCTCTTGCTTCCTTGATGTGATGTGATGATGGGCCGTACGCATAGTTCATGATTTGATACATTCCACTCGAGGAAGGATCCAGTCGACTTTGTATGACAGTGTGAGAGGGTTTCGCTAAGAATAGCGCCGTGTTGTTCATTAGCGGGCAACGTGAGTAGGAGTGTACGTGCAGCGTGTTGCAGGAAGAGAGAGTGTGATGTAGAAATTGTCTTCAAATTGTTGACGAGTTACAAGAAAGTAGGTGCGAGGGGAAACTTGAATTCTCTTAAGTGCCAGCTCAGAAGCATTGTGGGCTCTCATTGTCTTTTATTCATTTTGGGAAATGGCTGAAACTATAAAATTATCTTTTACTGTTGGTAGGGCCTCCCCTATTGCTGCTCATTAATCGGCCACCATTCACATACTGTGATATAGAACTACAAGAACACAGAGGCAGGGCTGCATAGACGAATTGAGAATTGGCACTGGTTCATCTTAATTTTACCGTTTGGTAGATACAGCACCGTGTGTAGGCCTCTATTGTGAAGTATGACAACAAGCCAAAGTTGTTACTTTTTTAGTTCCTAATCTAAAGCCTCTCTCGAGTCCTGGTGATAAGTGCTTCAAGAACATCTTCTTGAATTGTACCCAAAGCCACTTAGTGGTTGGTGGTTTGAATTCATAATTGTTCTCTTATGCACGTTGCAAGCATTATTTTTTTCTTTTTCAGTCATTGAGGTATGAACTTCCTGTAGGTAGGCAGTGGTGTGTTTATAAACTGAGGACTGTGGCATGTGTGAGCAGCAGAAATGGTTGTGAAACAACAGGCATGATCAATCCTCATTAGATTAGCTCTACAAATTTTCAATGCTGCGTTTCATGCTTTTGTCTCACGAGGAGTGAGTGTGCTTGTAATTACCTTTTGCTCCTATATGACACATGATTCATTCCAAATCCGTCATTTCACTTTTTGTTGTTTTTTCTGTCTGCTTGAAACTGCACATATTTTAATGTTGAATCTTAGATGGCCATGCCTGTTAACAAGCCACGAGTTATCACTCGAGTGATGGACACTACGATTGTTCTCGACAAATGAGCTTACTCAAAATGTTCGCAAGGTATAGGGAATCACAATGCCTGGCAGAATGGCGTCTTTTTGCTGTTCGGATACTTTGCCGGTATGAAGCTCTGATCAAAATATATAGATCAGTCTAAATGAACATGTTCGGTCATTTAAGTAGCTTGGTGAAAGCTTTGCTGCTACTTCACGGCTAGTTGGGCGAGGCCATGCTGGTCACTGCAAATGTCATGTGTTGCTGCCTGCACAATTCAGAGGCCTGCTTATTGAGGCTCGTCCATTACAATGCAAATCGCCAGTAAGCAGTGTGATAGCACTTTCATGGGCAGATTGGAACCTTTGTTATACATTGAACAGGTTACAGATGGGAGCTGTTACTTCATCTTTATCGTGGTGGCACCGTTCCAGCCCTACGTTTACATAATTCTTCACAAAAAAGCGATATTCTCTGTAAGGCTGATTCTTTGAATACTTTAAAAAACTGGTTCCTGTATCCCTATCTGTGCTCAATTTTTCCATTTGTGCACCTTTAAAACGAGCACACATGTGGCAATCACTTTTAAATATTTCTTTAGTTTGCCCTTCTTTGATGTTTTTTAAGTGACTAGATTACAATGTGTAGGCAAGGGTGATGATGCGGGGTCATTTTCAAGTATAGTTTGCATGATATCAGCTTGAGAGACACACGTCAATCCATCTTGTTGCTCTCAGCTGCATGGATATTTTCATTTGCACAAATGCATGTGTAACTTTCTAGTCCTTCCTACTGGGCAACAGGCATTTCATGTTCAAGCCAGGCACAAATTGGCATTGCCAGAGCTTTGCATTATACCTGCACTAGTAAAACTTAAAGCCATGAAGTAAGCATTCATGTCTTCTAGGTAATGCAGTGGGGTTCGGGGTTTTGTTTTCCTGGGACAGCAGGTGTCAGGTGTTTGCAGCTTTGCTACATCAGCCTTTTCTGATGTCATTAATAGTGCACAAGACTGCAAGGGACATTTTTGTTCACTTTTGCCTTAATGAGAAGGTTACTGTCCATGGCTCCGCTAGCAACGGTTGTCTTGTTTCTGTGTGCAGCTGGCCCTGGCTGCCAAATTGTGCCCTGCTTTTTGGTAGCACAACCATGACCCTGAGCCCAGCTGTGCTAGGCTCTTTTCTTTCTGGCTCTGTGACTGCAGTTCTCTCTACTGAATACGCCTATATTGATGCACCATTCATGTGTGTTAAGCCAAAAATAATTCTGAGTGTACTTGGAGCTGTGTAGCGATAGCTCTACTCCCATGTTTCGAGGGATCTTAAACTGCTGCAACCTGCATTTTGGAATATGCTGTGATGTGATCTTTTGTATCAATGTCATGCGCAATGTGATACAGAACTGAATACATGCTTAAGCTGAGCCGTATCATCAAAAACACTGCAAGTCATCCTCTTGTTCTGACAACCTTGTCAAGAAAGTTCGGCAAATGCATTAGGCTCACTCTAAGTGTTATTCGTGGAGCATAATGTTAAATGTGAAAAGCTCAAGCGTGTTTTTGCGCACATACCATGGCATACTGAAGTGTGGCAGTTGTTGGGTAACTACGACACTTATGGCCAACAAAAGCTTGCAACCTGTTCAGTGAAGTTCGTATGGTTATTTTTGAGCTATAGTTTACTCTTAATGCCAGTGGTTCCTTTTTTATTTATGTTATCGTGATGAATTGGTTGCAGCAAGCAGTGTTTTCTACAATGAGGTATTATAATGCCTGTGGTAATTACCTTTTTTATGAAATTTGAGTGTGCTTTGAGTTTAGAGCATTACTAAGTTTGTTGTATTAATTCACTATTATTTGAAAGTATTGACATTAATAAAATATGACAGCTTCAGTTCTTTGCCTTTGGGACTTTGCATAGTAATGGACATCTGTGAGGTATAGTTACTTTACTTAATCTCTATGATTATTCTAGTAGCTTTGGGGTCTTACAATGCACTATCAAGTCACGTAGTTCTCTTGATTGAGTAATGCTATTTAAACAAACATGAGAAGCATTAAGCCATTTTAACTTGGCACTTATCATCATTCATTGCCCACACCTCAGAACAATGTAGCAGACTGTGTGGCACTACAGCTCAGTTCCATACTGACAGTGCATTTCCAAGACCTTGGTCATGTACAGATGTGCATAATTTCGTGCTGACTTCCCAGCTGTCGATCAAGCAATGTGACCATGTTGTAGCTGCTGATTACATGAGCGTCCAATCCAGGGCCCATCTTTCCGCAACAAGTATGAGCTAAAACTTCTTTTTATTTAATGCACCAGACAAAAATTATTGACAGCTGTGTGGATGTTTGTGTATCGAGTCTCTGCAGATACTTCATATTGTAAACTATATAAACGATGAGTAACTAAGCATGATCACTTGTTGACATAATCTGATCACTGTAATGTTAACCATACATCATATTTGCTTTTCAAACAACATTCTTATCTATAGTGTATTTTAAGAAGGTTGTCTTGAATCATTACTCTCGCTGCACTAAGCAGTTATATGCTGTTCAGGTTGCCACCCTTTTTGCCTTTTGCCAGCTACATTGCAGCACCATAGCACATGCAAGGGTTATGGTGTTGTAGTTGTGGCCATGCTAGTAGCTTGTCGATGGAATAATGCCTTCCAAAAAGCACAGTTTGCCTCGTGGGGCATTATGGCTGCTTTGGCATAGCTGCTGTTCTCACTGCTTGCGAACACTAGGGTACCTCGGTGGAAGATCTCCCAGCGGGACCAGTTGGACTCTGGTGGCGGCTCACTGCGAAACATGCCGGACAGAAATGTATAGATAGCCAATAGTTTCACATTCTTCTACGGGACAGAATATTAGTATACAGTGATCAATGGCCACACACAAACTGTTTGATAATTCCTGGCTTAAAACATTTGGAGTGAAGAAAAGAGAATTAGGAATGAATAGCCATAAGCCCTCGAAGCAAATATATTCATTCAGTTGTTATTGCACTTTCCCATTTTTATTTTATCTATAGAATTCTTTAATGCATTTTTAATTTTTAAGAATATCCTGCTTCAATGTATTTAAAAAAAAAACATTGAAGCTGGCTATCCTTCTTGGTTTCTTGCTTGTCTGATAGCTGGCAGCACCAAGTCACTTCGATGTTACGGGCAACAGTAAAAACTCAGCTGGGATTTCTCGCCACTCATAACTTGACTTGATCTCCCTAGATTTTTATCTTTTACTTAAGAGCCATCAACTGCGCCCTCCCCCAGCCCTCTCTCTTTCCTCCGGTCAGTGCCTCATCATTAGTGAGGAGGGGGACTTGTTCCCCCTCCTCACTAATAAACGCAAGTTTAAGGAGCACTTTTTACCATGTACGAACGCAACCCACAAGAGGGCGAGGCTTAACTGTCGTGTACAACAACCCAATGAACCGGTGGAAGTGTTCATCATGAACCTGCATAAACTGGCAGAGGCTTGTGAATACGGTAAACTCAAAGACGAGCTGATCTGCGACAGTCTCGTGGTCGAACTGTTGGACATTAGGCTGAGCGAGAAAATGAAAGTTGATCCCAAGCTGACGTTGCAGTCAGTGACGAAATTGGCAGGGAACTCTGAGTTGGTGAAGCAACAGAAAACTGAAATTCGCCGCAAGGAGCACCTCACTATTACAGTCGATGAGGTCAGAAAATCAAGCGAAAGAAACAAAAACACTGTCTCAAGCACCTCCTTGCTGTCTACGCACAACAATTAAACGACGATGCCATGCCGGACGTTGTCGGTGGTGCGGAGGAGTCTGCAACCACATGAAGGGGCAGTGTCCACCCATGGGCAAGACGTGCAAAAAAAGCCCACTACGCAGCAGTGTGCCTCCCAAGTGCATACAAGCACTACGCAGTCAGCCCTACACAGTCAGCTACCCGAGTGCCTGTTCCTCTTATACAATCTCATGAAGGTGGAACTCAAAAGAATGGACGACATCGCTCTCATACACAAGGTGAAACATGCAACACAGTGGTGATTCCCAATGGTGATAGCAAAGAAAAGGAACAATGAACTGAGGAGATGTGTTGACTATGGCCAGCTAAACCAGCAGATCGTTCGTGACCGCATGCCAATACCTACAGTCGATGAATACCCCGCCAAGCTAGCCGTTACAAACGTCTTCAGTCGCTTAGACGCACGTGCAGGCTACTGGCAAGTCTATCTCTCTGAAGAGTCATTCATTGCTCCATTTGAGTGGTTCCAGTTTCTCAGAGTACCCTTAGACATTTCTATGGCACTAGAATTTTTCCAGCGTACGATACTCAGAGTCTTGGAGGGACTGGACGGACTGACATGCCGACAAGATGACATTATCGTGTCCAGGCGATGCAAATCTTCACGAAGTGCAGAGTCGGCTCGCATAGGCAGGGGTCACGCTCAACGTCAACAAGTGTGCATTTCGACAAAGCGAGGTTAAGTTTCTGGGACAGATCGTTTCCTCAGAAGGCATTAGAGCCGTCCCAGACAAGTGGAGTCCATAACACAGATTGAGGCATCAAAGGATACATCAGAAGTCAGGCCATTTCTTGGATCAGCAAACCATGCGGCAAACTTTCTTCCAGGCCTTGCTGACATGACTAAGCCACTGAGAGGCTTCATGCATGCAGATGCCGAGTATAACTGGGGCCCGGCACAACAGCAAAGCTTTGAAAATGTGAAGCAGGCACTAAGTGCAACACCAGTCTTTGAGCACCACGACACAAGAAGGCCGCACACACTGTCTGTGAATGCATCGTCGTATGGCTTGGATGCACTTCTCTTGCAGTAGTCGCATGAAAGGCATATGCCTCACGTTTACTCTCCGATACGGAACAGAGATATGTGCGGGTTAAATGGGAAGCCCTAGCCTTCAGTTGGGCATGTGAACACTATTGCAAGTACCTTCTCGGCTAATAATTTCAGATCGATACAGATGACAAGCCCCTGGTGTCTCTGTTGACCACCAAGTGCATGGTTGAACTGAGTCCAAGACTGCAACGTATTCGTATGTGCCTTCTGGAGTACGATTATACAATCTCTCACACGCCAGGGAACAAATTGTTCACAGCTGACCTGTTGTCTCGAAAGCCACAACAGAACCCTGCTGCTCAATACACTGACAGAGACATTGAAAGTGCCGTGAAAAAGTTTGAAACCCCAACCCTGAAGCAGCCACCAGCATCAGAGCACATGCTAGAAAGGATCAAGCTCAGCATCCAAGCGGACACCGCACTGAGTACAGTGGCGACCCTATGCACTTCAGCATGGTCTTCTGTATGGCTGAGCACCAGAACGCCAGCGCAGAAGTGGCTGATGATTTTCGCTAGTCAAAGGCTTGCTCTTTAAGGGTGATGACTTGTTATCTTACCCAGTCTTAGTCTGGAAGTGCCCAGAAGACTTCAAGAATGCCACATAAGTACAACTCGGTGTTAAGATAGAGCAAGCCAATCTGTATGGTGACTAGGTATTGGAAAGGAGATCGAACAATACGTGCAATGATGTCAGGTATACCAAGAACATAGGAAGCCTGCGACTGAAGTACTTCTTCAGGCACCACTGCCTGCGTATCTGTGGGATACCATCGGCATTGATCTCTTGTCATTGGAAGAAAAAGAGTACGTATATCCTGTTTGTTGACTACTATTCTAGATTCTTTGAGCTTGAGCAACTACGTGGCACGGACACGACAAACGTCAGTGTTCTGGAACCAATCACAGCATTGTTTGGGGTGCCAAGAACAATTCGCTAGGACAATGGACCATTGTTCGCCTCGTGGGAGTTCAGGCAGCTGATGAAACAATGGGACGCTAACCACATAACTTCAAGCCCATACTACGCCCAAAGTAACGGCATGGCTGAGCGTGCAGCGCAAACAGCTAAGCAGCTCCTGAAGAAATCTCCCAACATAAACGTAGAGCCACACTAACAGTGGAAGGCTTCCCGCCAGCAGAACTTCTAATAGGACGTCGCGTCAACACAACTCTGCCGTAGACCATCAAAAGGCTCAAACTGAAGTGGGACGACAGGGACTTCAGGTGCAAGAACGAAACATATAGAGGCCAAGTCCGTCCCACCTACAACAGGCGACACAGAGTGTGAAGCAGAGAGCACATCCTACCGAAGACAGCTGCGCAAATTCTGAGTGGGGCAGCATCCCATGGGACTACGACGCAAGAAGCAGGTCAACCAAGACCTATCTGGTACAGACTTCAACATGGCTTACAAGGTGTACAGGCAAGCACGTGCAATCAGCGCCAATAACAAGAACTGGACGCCTAGTGTCGACCTCCAAGCCGTCTGTACACGTAGCCTGCCTTTCCGAAGAAAGGGGGGTGTCATAGACGGCTGACCACGGCGACGCCGCGCGGCAGGCGCACGGAGAGCCATGTGTGTGGGGGAAACGCAACACTGTGACAGCGCGCGTGGATAAGCGTGTATTGTTTCTTGGCCAGAACTCCGCTGGAAGAAATTGTTCTAAGTTACGTTGGCTTCTTGTTTGACAGCGCGTAGCAACGCAGAGCTACGACAACATACAAACATACATCTGAACATGAATGGAGTTGGACACTCCACGAAAAACATTTCTGGCTGCACCCATGATTCTGAAACCGTTAGAACAAAGTGACGCATAAGAAAATTAGTATCGCAAGACTCACCCGTTCCATACAAAGCCCGCGAACATGTCGGCCATGTACTGCGAGAAGTGGAGCTCGCTGTGGTCTAGCCCGTACTCGTCCTGGATGGCGCCCACCAGGCCAGATGCGTAGATGAAGTCCAGAAGCTGGGGAACACCCTTCCAGCGGGCCCACCAGCGGTAGTAAGGAAGGTGCGCAAACTCGTATGCGAACACGCGACTTCCGAGGGCCACGGCCTCTTCGACCATTAGGTTGACCGGGCAGTAGACGTGCATGTCGCCCAAGAGCTCGTCCAGAGACTCCAGCACGTTGACGCCCTTCGTGTTCGCGAACTGTGGTGCGTGCAGACCGTAGAAGTCGAGCACCTGGTGGGGTTCCGCCACTCCGTGCCTCCGCAACCAGGCCTCTAGCAGCCCGAGCACTTCCCGCCCGCTGGTCTCGTCGTTGAAGTGCAGTTGCGAGCGGCGCAACATTTCGAGCACGTAGGATACACCCTCATTGCTGGTGTAGCCCGCGATGAAATCCAGGGGCCTAAAGCGCGCGGGCATGTTGGGAATCTTTTCCGGCACCACGGCATTCTCTAACATCTTGTGCTCGGGTGTGACTGCTGCAACGGATGAATGTTGCAGCTCAGGTTTTATATATAACAGTACAAAACTTGGATATGTGCTGGTATAAAAAAATATATCCATGAAGTACATGAGACTAGCGCACGAACTAGTCCCAGTCATCGCCTTACTGACACTCAACAATGAACTGAAGCAAGGATCGAAGAAACAGTATTCCTTTCAGGGTGAGAACATTTTAACCGGCACTAGTTGGAGCCAGTTTAACTGTGTTATAGAACAATCCCCAGCTGGAGCTAGTTGTCAGCTCGTCTCAGCCCGAACTTCTTGGCTTCTGGTCCTAAGTCGGACCAGAGGCAGTAAATACAATTGACGCTATGGCGCACACTACATAAGCATGATCCAAATATTTTTAGATATATGTATGAATGTTCGGTTTGAGGACATTACAATGCTGTTGTGGAGGCCTGCAGATTGGTCTACTTATATATGATATCGCAGAACTAAAAATTTTCAAGCCTATTTCAATAAGCAATTGTATTGTTTACTAGACTTCTTATCATTACCCATTGGGCATATACCCTTTGGTGAAAGAAAGGTGAATTGATTGTATACCCCTAAAATGTAATTTCTCGTAGATGGCTTCAAAATTAGAGCATAGCTCGTGTTGCAATATCTTACCAACTTGCGCTCTCGGCTACCACCTGCAGGTGCTTATACTTGAAATGAGCTTAAACCTCATTTCAGATTTAATCCTGGGTGATTATCCTGAGGGGCAGCGATAGTTCTACATAAAGAAAACTTTCTTGCTAGATCAGCTAGTACGTTCTGGCTCCAGGCCACTTGTTTTGATTAACTTGCAGCTAGACCATGCTACTGGTTCTCTCAACAACTGGTTCCAGGTTCCGTATATACACTGTTATGATCGGCCTACCTGGCTTGACGCCGCTTGGACGCGTGAGACACTGAGGCTGAGCCTACCCTGATTTATTCCGGGTCAAAGCTCCCGAGGTGCGCCAAAAGCGGCGACAGCATGACAGCAGTACTTCTAATTCTGCAGTGAAGTCTAGAAAACCCTTTGGACACGCCCGACCGATCGAGTGACAGCTTAGGAAGCGCTGCTTAAAGTCGAGGCTGCTTGCTTTGTTCGACGTGCTACGAGATGTGCCGAACAATTAGCTAAGAAGTGTGACAGCTTGGGCTAGTTGGTATGGCATGACGATAGTTACAGCGCGAGAACAAAACGACGACACAAAGACAAGAAGGACACGAAAGACACGAGCGCTAGCGCACGTGGCTTTCGTGCCCTTCTTGTCTCTGTGTCGTCGTTTTGTTCTCGCGCTATAACTATCGTCACAACAATTAGCCTTGTGTCAGGGTTCCGTCCTCGGGCATGTTTTCTACGTACTCCGTGGTGCCTTCATGACGACCGTTTTCCACAAGCCGTGGCCTGCCTGGTGCCGTGGCCCGCAGGCCCTATCAATGAGCCACCACTGCACCTGACCACACAGTTGATCTGCGCATAGGGCCCAGCGTCTTCACGCTGTGGTGTCTTGCGTATTATCGCATTGCGCATTGTATAGTATTTCTCCCTTTCCGACAAAGTGGGCGTGCCCCTTCCTTCTTTCGTGCGTAGGGAAGGAAACAGTGTATACCTTCCCATTTTTGGGGCAGAGGTGAAGACGACGATTTTATTGGACTGTCCTGGCCTCAATTGTTTTCTCCTGCAGGGGCTGGGGAAGATCAGGATTTAAAACGCAAGTGCCGAGGTGCTCCGAAGAAGCTCACATCAAGCTTCCATCGAGAGCTTTCATGATTCTGCCACCATTATGTGGTATCACGCTACCGTGCAAATGTAAATTCTGTGAATAAACGTTCCCGTCATCGGCTCCGGCTACTTTGCTCGACCTCTTCCTGAGACTTGGCTGGCTCCGGTCCTATGGGCAGGCCTCCAGCAATTAACACCAACTGGTACCTGCTGGTTCTGTTTCCTGACCAAATGGTTCCTGCTACATCCGTTATCGAACAACTGCTGTCAGCTGGTTCCATTTCCAGACTGGAGTGGTTCTTGCTGGGGACCAACATGGAACGAGTTGCTGACCCCTTGGTGGTGGTGGTGGTGATGTTGAAGTAAACAGAGTTACCCTGGTCCACATGGCTGGTAATTGTCCCGCCTGAACATGTACTGGGTTTTAGTTGTCCGTATGTGCGTGCTGAGCAGCCCAGTGTCGCACAGAAGGACCATCGAAATTTGTGGCACGCTCCTCCTCGTTGCGGCGGGGCCTTCCAGAAAAATCACATCTTCAAGTGCCCGGTGCCTGTGACAGCCCATTTGCAAGCTGCGGACCATCGCTGCTCTTCCCGTATCAAAGAATCAAACAGTGGGCAAATCATGTCATCTGACTCACTTGCCTTTGATTTTCTGAAAACTCTGCACTAGCCACATTCCTACGAAGCATTCTATGTCCGTTGATGGCGCGCACGCCTTTCGTGTCCTCAAGGTACCGGACGAGTAGTGAGATTATGGAAGGAAAGGCATGCAAGATATAATATTATTTTGGCCAGAAGGACACCCCAAGTGCGCCTTTGTTTTTCAAGGGGGCCTGTAACACTTTTCGGAGCAATCATCGAATGGCTCTATAAAGGAGTCTGTTGGCTGTCGAATCGAATGTCGCATTTTTTTAGACTCCGTCAAGTTTGAGTGTTCTTTTATATAAGAATGTCTTGCGTGCATTAAGCATTTTAAGCGCTTTATTTGTCCTTCCGAACCAGCGAGCGCGCTGAAAGCTTCGTGGTGCGGAGGGGGAGGTGACTTGGCGGTAAGAAACTACGCCCGTTCACCAGCATGCGTAATGACCTTGAACAGTTTCTTTTCTTTCTATTTTTAAGACAATAGTCTTTCTTGGAATACTTGAACGAGGAAATTTTAGCCTGTCTGTCTGTCACTAGATTAAGCTACTTGGCCAATGTACGAGCACTTGCTGAACGGCCTGTCATCTTGACCTGTTGGCTGCGTTCGTGCTTGTGAACATTGTCGATTAGAAAGCGAATATTACGCATATCTGATGCACAACATCAATACGTAAGTATTGGGTGGTGTGCTCCTTTACCAGAAAAAAATACATTGATACGTCATTATAAAAGCTCTTATAGTACGTGTTTCTGACGCTGTGCTGAAAATGTGACGATATTCACGAAAAAGCGCTCTGTCCACAATGTTGTGTTGGAACAAGGCAGTGGCCCTTGGTTCTGCACAAACTCTTTTTTCCCAGCATTACTGCCAGATAGACGCCATATATCACGTAGCGCCTCCTATATTTTATCAATGCCAGCCAGATGCGGGCGATGCAACATAAAGGAGGTGCTGTTTGAGGCTAGGCAAAACATAAATGGCCTCCTAGCCGGCAGAAGCCTATCATTTTTCGACATTTCCAGCCAAAAACGCAAAATCGCGGCCAATATATATCGCGGTGTAGTTTGGGAGTTTGGAGAAAGCTAGCGCGTACGATCGTTTTATAATCTGATTGAATTACCGAGTGTGCACATGTACGAGGAGTGTAAATGTAAATTTTCAGAAGCGTTAGTAGACGGGATTGATAGATTTTTGTTTTGCAAACTTGGCAGAGCAAACAACCTGGACACAAATTGAGCTCGCTTGTCTGCCGCTCTTTCTGTGTCCCCTGTGTTTTAGCTGCCAACTTTCACTAATGCACTTCTTTCTTTCTTTATTGCCAATGTACACACATCATCGAACAAGTATACATACCAGACAAACGACAAAAGGAACAAAAAAGAAAAGGTACACAGGTATCAGAGTTTACAAGCTTTTAAAATTCCTTCATCTCTAGAAGGCTTTCTTCCTGATGGAGCCATTCTGGTACATCTTGTTGAGCCTTTCGTGTTTCAGCAAATGAACATACAGATTGAAATAAATATTGTCTAACCAGTCGTGCATTAACATTAGCATGGTACACCGCCATTTTAGATTGCCACATATACTGCGGAAGCCCAGTAACGTCAAACGGTACACCTTTCTCATTCGTAACTGAGAGAAATTCGATGGCATAAGCATCAAGGGACAAGTCCTTCTTTAAAGTCCGTTGAAGGACGCTCTCCTGCCCCCCGTGGGAAAAAAATACTGCATCTAGCAGCCAGGAAAAAGCATGCTCGTTGTATTCGGCTTAATGCAGAGAAAACGGTCTCTTAGAGGAATGAATATGCCCCTTTCTTGCATCCATATGTTTTGACATGCTAGACTCCAGTGGGCCCTTTGAAGAAAAAAAGATTTCCCTCCAGGTGTTACCTCCATTTTTTTTTGCACAGCTTATGACCTGGACCAACACGGTATATTGGTCTATCTGGAGGAACAGGATGAATTGTATCTATTATATGTTTGTGCAACTCTTCACGAGAAACAGTAGAGACATTCCAACGAAAAACATGTTTTTAAAAGACATGAATAAACTACTTCTTTCAAGTAACCTCTAATGTTTGCTTGCATGTTGCCAGATGTCACCACAGATTTCGGCAACACCTTTCCAACCCTAAGCTGTATAACAGTATACGTGTAAAAGGGTCTCGAATATTTTGGAAGACTGTGAACCGGTTAACTAAGTGACGCAGATGCAAATGATTTAGACCAAGCCCACCAGAGCAAACCCGTCTGAAAAGATTAGCTCTACTTGTTCGCTCCCAAGAAGAACCCCTGAAGAAAACAGAAAATACTCGGTGAAGCTTCTGTACATTCACATGCGAACAATGTATACTTGAAAAACGTACCAGAGCTTACTGACCAAAAATATGTTACAAAATGTCGGTCAGGCCAAAATTGATAGGTGAAACCTTTGAGTTGCTGAGCGTTTTCTCGCAGTTGCCTGATTCCGCCTCTAGGGTTCACTGTTTATTATTATAATAATATACAAATGGAACGCCTAAATACTGCACGTGTGTAATGGTTTATGAAATACCGGCTATGAAGTGTGCAGTCACAGGTCATTCCCCGTGACAGTCACCCACGCACTTGCTCCTGTTGACTAAACTGCCACTCGTATTACAACAAGGCTTCAATTAAGGTTTTAGCGGTTTCAGTGACTCTTGCATAATTTTTACCAAACAAAGCTATTACGGCGTATGCCAGTACTCGTACTTTATCTTATCGTAGTTTGTATCATTTTCGATAAATTCTGCGTGCCTGTCTGTGGGGAAAGGTAGCTGGGCCCGAACTCGATGCCTGCGCCGTCGGCTGCTTCGAGCGTCGCCCTGACAGAGCGTGACTTGAGGCACTCAATGGCCGCTCTTCTGGCCGATGAGTCTGGGCAACGCAGTTCCCTGGCCAGCGCGCGCACATTGCGGTCGGCGGCCTTGCCGTTGTTCTCAGGGTAAGGGCTGTATGGCGAACCAGCCATCATCACTGCCCGCTGAAAGTACGCCGCACTTCGGTTGGACATAAGGTGGTAGCTCACTGACGCTGCTCCGGCTTCGTGGCCCACAAGGGTCACCTGCAATATCGAGCAAGCTTCGGTGAGTTGGTACATGACTGAATGGTAACAGCTCAGATAGTAGCGCCAACAAGTTTACATTCGTAAGCGTGCGTAGAATTCCACTGCAGGGGGGAGGGGGTGAAGGTTCGTTGCAGCGCCCCCTTGCCTATTAGGTAATAATATATGGGACAGACATTGTGTTCTTCATCTTAGGTGAGTACAGAAAAGCAGTATCCCCCCCCCCCCCCGCCCCCAGTGCGTACGCCTATGCCCACATCGCAACCCTTATTCGATGGTAGTAGCGCAAAAGAGAAATTACAATAAAAGGGACGCAAGGGTGCCCTATGTCCAATTTATTTGTTATCTCTTGCGTTATTGCCCATAATCTACCGCACGGTAGCGACCTATCCAGTACTATATAGAAACAGTGCGTTAGTTCCCATCGAGTTAGTGGTAACATAAGAGATCTTGACACCGTCACCACGGCAACCATGAATTTGCGCAGCTGGGATTCACTATTAGGGGGTGGGTTGGCGAAGTCGAAGTCTCACCGCATACTTCCCCCACTCCCCTGCTGGTCAAGGTCGAAAAATAATGCAAGCTTCGCAACAGATAAACGAAAATGAAGCGGTGACGTGGTACTCAAGTCGGGAGTAAGAGTTGGCAGTGTTGTGAAAGACGGCGACGCCACCACGGTCCCGAAGGCGCCACTGCTTCGAACTCCGCCGGGAAGGTCACCAGCCGTTTTGGTAGCGTAGGTTTCTCAGCTCGCGACTGCTTCTGCGCAGAGCTGATAGACGAGCGGACGAGACGACGGTGAGTTAAACAAGGTTTATGTACAGCATATATACAGAGGCGTTACAAATTCGGCACTGGGGCCGACAGAGACTCGAAGAGCCAAGCTCTCCTCTCTAACACATAGGTCTGCTCTCAAACGGGTCCGCTCTGACACACATGTCAGCTTTCACCTAGGACCGCCGATCGCGACGCACCGCAGGGCTTCTTTTATAGGCACCGGGTCCAACCAAAATGTCCAATTAGAAGCGCCGCTGGTCGTCAGGGCAGATTCCTCCTGGGGTCGCCGCTGGGCCACGTCAGACCCCCAGACAGGAAGACGCCTGTTGTTTACTCGACGGGCTCGCTCGCACGTGCGCTGACTCACTGCACGTGGGCGCCAGAGAGGCGCCGTCGCCTGTTGACGCCGTTGAGTTGTTCGCGTCAGGCGGACTTGCGGGCTGGCCTTGACACAGATTGCCTTTTTCAGAGGCACGGCCGTTCGCTGTGGACTCGCAGGCATAACAGCAGTAAAAAGCTCTGGTAATGCAAAACCAGTGGTTCTCAGCTGTCATTATCGTCAAATTAGTGCACGCGTATAACCTTGCGCTTATAAAGATTCAAGGGAGAGGTGCGCCGCCTGAACAAGGCATGAGACATACATGGTGCCACACCCCCCTCAGATACTGTTAGAGGGGGCAGTCTACCCCCCCCCCCCCTGGAATCTCCGGCGAGAAGGGCAACGCTGACGCCTCTTGTTGCAGTTGTACAATCACGGTAAATGAACTGGACATGCAAGTGGCACATATTGACGTTGGTGGCTCCTTTCCGCCGATTTGTCTACTCGCCATTGGGGTACAACGTCGGACATCCGACGTTGTACCCCAATTCTTAAGAACTTCGCCCTTAAAACATTGGTGCTGGCGGATGCGCATACATGTCCTCCCCCGTCAACGGGCTGGCGCGCATGTAGACACGCAATGCGCGGCGCGACTGTGAAGAAATAGTAATGAAGTTGCGCCCATTAGTAGGCAGACACATACACGGCTAGCACGCTGCTAGCGCTCGCCGCCATTCATGCGAACGCTGTGACGCTATGCACCAGTCAGGCACAGCGTGTCTCCCTTTGAGAACGTGAGCACATACCTGCGCCGGTAAGCAATAGTTGGCGGCGCGGCGCCCCGATGTCTACCGATGGCGGCGGCGCGGATTATTGGTGGCGTGGCGGGCGCGGATATAGAATGGATATAGCCCGGCCTAAGTGTATGGCGCTACCAAAAAGGAACAATTTCTACTGGGTAAACTACTATGCTCTTCGAGTGAAATGTGATACTGCTAGTGGCCCTTGCACCAACGTAGCTGTTGAACTCCGGGGACACCTAGATAAGGTAGTGTGGCGCGAGAGTTCAAAGCGAGGTACTCAACAAAAGTGGGTCGAGAAAATTGTCCTCACAAAATCTGGCTGAAGGTCGTGCATCAATCTATGTTTGGACTATTCAAACGGCGTTTTCTTTTGCGTTCGTACAAGTTTTCAAGTGACACCTTGCCAGCCTAGACAAATGGTGCAGAGAGAGAGCAGAGCGGGACACAGAGATGTGCAGTTTGTGTTATGTTTTTTCTGTATCTCGTTTGTTTGCGCTGTCTATTTGTCGTGATGAATGAATGCCATAATAAATGAATAATGAATAACAAAGAATTCCACCAATCAACTCTTCTGCAACTTTTGCAAGATTTCCAGTACGTATAACCGGGCACCCACGATTTATACCTGGAAGGGCGATGCTCCGAATAGATGTATGTTGTCGTGAACCCACTGCAACGCAACTATCTGGTCTCTGATTCCAACATTGCCGGGGGCCTCGTCGTGCTGCAGCGCGGCGTTGAGGAAGCCAAAGGCACCTATGCGGTAAGCCGGCACCACGACAACAGCACGCCAGGCAGCAGCCAGGTACTTCCCGTCGTAGAAGGTGTATGGCCCACCGCCGCCCCCGTATTGGAAGCGACCGCCGTGCAGCACCACCACGGCCGGAAGCAGCGGAGGGCGACCACAGACGCCGCACTCGGTGCCACCGTCCTCCTCGAGCAGTGGCTGCCACACGTTCAGGTAGAGGCAGTCATCCTCACTGTTGGTCTGCGCGATAGGGCGACGCGGGAACGGCGTCCACTCAACCTGCGGGTATAGTGTAGGCAAACTGGTTATCCAAATGTGGGAACCTATATACCAGCACACCGAATACATCACATGAAAAGCTCGCAGTCCGGCATCAAATATGTGCGTGGTGCTGCTACTGCTGGTGTGGTAATAACTTTGTTTTTCCTTTTGAAAGGAAAGAGGCAATGGAAAAGAGATGAGGAGAGGTTGCTACACTCGGTAGTACTCCGCAAACTTCTCAGGCTACCCAGTCAGTCTTACATGCGAGCACACAGTGAAAACCCGCTTTGTCCCTACTATGGCAACGTTGGGCGTGAAATTGAAAACGGCGTGCTGAAACAAAATTGTGCTACTACTACTCGTGGAACATCGTTTATAGAAGCATAAACGTGCTCTTTCGGGCTGTTTCTCTCTGTTATACCATCGAGCATGAAGCCAACAAAGAAATACAATAATAAATGAGCATCTCTAGCTGACAGCGTGACTGTGATGATATTTCAAACAGGCAATTGTCGCCTCAGCATTAAAAACTTGTATGAAAAAGTAATTAGCATCACTGCAGCTTTCAGCAGCAGTTGAATCAGATCGACAGAATGTATGCTCGTAGAATGCAGAAGACAACAATTTAACATGTGATGTAAAGGAGGAGGTCTGGCGTCAAAAGAGAAACATCTTTAATTGAAACGGCAAGATTCAGAGGAACTATATCCTCTCCCCTAGATGGCAGCTAAGAGTGCTGGATCCCTAGCGGCATCTTCGGCTTGCCTGATCACTTGTAGCTGGTCCTGGATGTTTGAGCTAAGCAGCGTGGTCTCCCATTGCGGTGCGTTAAATTATTTGGTGTTTGGCCCCTTCACGAGGTCAGGACAGTCCCATTTAATATGTTTGAGGTCCGCTCGCTGATTTCAGAGTTTACATTTGTTGGAGTAGAGATCTGAATAGCAATGACTGTAAGCAATTGGGTTTGGGAAGATGCTTGTTGGAAATAGGTGCCATGCTGCATATTTAATGAGGAATTTGGTGAAGAGTAATGCTGCCTTCCTAATCGGTAGTGTTGGTGATTTCGTTGTATGAGGCCATGCTCTCTTTCTCCACATGTGGGCTTCGCATCATTCCTGCACCGGCTCGGCTCACTAACTCTCGAGCTAGGGTGTGCGCGGTTTCGTTGCCCGGGAGGAAAGAATGAGCGGGCGTCCATAAGACATACACGTCGCGCTCTGCGTGAAGGTTGGTCGAAATTCTTTTCGCCTCTTTCAAGACCCAACCGTGAGCAAAATTGTGCATTGCGGTTTTAGAGTCGCTAATTATAACGCTGGCTGTTGTATATGCAAGCGCCAGTGCTATGTATGGCCAATGGCCATTCCTCAGCGATTTCAGACCTTCCTGATTGAATGGAACTGCTGGCGAGCAGGTGGCCCGCTTGATTTGAAACGACCAAAGCCATTTGTCGACCGTCCGGATACTCCGCCGCATCCACATACATCACATCCACATCATTTAGACACTTCTTGTGTAGTGATATTGCCGTAGCGTTCCTCCGCTCCTGGTGATACTCTAGGTGCATGTCTCTGGGTAACGGTGGTATTATGATACGCTTTTTGGTCTCTTTTGGGATAATGTATTGATACGCGCTTTGGCCAGCGTACGAGATGTCCAGTTTCTGCATTATGGTTCTTCCTGTGTCTCTCTGTGAGAGTCGTTCATATTGCCGCGAACCATGCATTGGGTTTGTTTATTTGTGTTTTGTTTTTTCGGCCTGGCTGCGCCGGCCTGTGCTATCGCCGTTTTCACAGCGTTTCGAACAAACGCTATCGAACAACGCTTCAGGCGTTGTTCGATAGAAACAACGCTTCAAGCGTTGTTTGTTAGAAACGCTGTTCGAACGAACAGCGTTTCTAACAAACGCTATCACGGCGTTCTCGATACAATTCGACTATTCGAGAAACCCTCGCGCCGAGGGATATAAATTCCCGCACAGCCGATGCCGCGTCATTCGATCGCCGACGCTCACTAGCGTGCCCGTCGTTTTGCCGGCCGCTGCTTCGCCGCCTGTGTATTCTTTCAGTTGTTAGGGGAGCACAGGTTCGCTCCAATAAACTTGTTTTCTTATAGACAACTGCGTCGTCCTTTGCTGCGTGACAATATTGTGCAATCATATAAGCCCCAATAAGTTCATCTAGCTTGTTAAGCATACCTAGTGCTTCAAACGCTTTGTTAGATTTGGTGATCGGTAAGCCGAGTGCTTGCTTATATGCCTTTTTGATGACGCATTCTATCTTTAATTTTTTCCGCTGCTTGCAACTTGAGGTATGGGGTCACATACACTATGCGGCTGACGACGAAGGCTTGTATGAGTTGCACCAAGTTGTGTTCTTTTATTCCGTAATTCTTGTTGGCAATTCTTCGGCTCAGTCTAATGGTCTGCTGTGCGTTGCTATTCCGTATGTTTATTGCTTCCCCGTTATGTCCGTTCTCGGATATGCGGAGGCTCATTATTCTCATTTGTTGGACCTGAGGAATCGGGTAACCCCCTGCTAAGATTGTTATGTTTGGCCGTTCTTGACTGCATGACTGCACTTGTGTCCTCTGCTTGTACGAGTAGTACCTCTGATTTTCGGGGGCAACATTTTAGGCCTTGGTCTCCACGTATCGCTCGAGCGGCTCAACTGTATTTACTGCTTGCTGTGAAATATCTTCGATGCGAGCGTAACTACCACACTTAACCCAGAGTGTGATGTCATCCGGATACAGACTGTGCTTATGTCCTTCGATGCGTTCCAGCTCTCAGGGCAGACTAATCATCGCCCCATTGAATAGGAAGGGGGAAAGCACTAAACCTTGCGGTGTTGCCTTGTTGCCAAGTTTGATTTCTTCGGATTGGGCTTCGTCGGCCACGATCATGGCTTTACGGTTAGTGAGGAAATCTTTCACATAATTGTGCACTGGTCTGCCAACATGCAGGTGTTGTAGGTTGCGCACTATGGCCTTGTGCGTGACGTTATCAAATGCCGACTGCAGGTCGAGCCCAAAATGGCTTTTGTATCAATATTGTGTGTTTTGGCCTCTATGATTTGATGTTTTAGCTGCAACACGACATCTTGCGTCGAAAGTCGTTGTCGAAAGCCTAGCATCGTGTGCGGGTATAGCTTATTGTCGTCCATATATCTGATGAGACATGTTAAAACTACTTTTTTTTTTCTCTATGAGCTTTCCGATGCACGACGCCAGTGAGATAGACCTGAGATTTGCTATGAGTTGTCTTTTACCGGCTTTGGGTATAAATACAATTATGGTGGTTTTTCATTGCGGGGGTATGACTCCTTTGTGACAGCAGTGACGGATTCTTCATCCAAGTTGCGAAGTGTTTTATTTGTTACACTACCGGGGCCCGGGGTGTACTTGGGATTCAGTCATCCGAGTTCGTATCGAATTTCTGCTTCGGTTATGGATGCGTCTAGGTATATGTTACTCTGCCCTTGGTACTCCGGTAGTCGGGTGTTTGTTACGTCGCCTAAGTAGGCCTGGCGTACCTCGCGCAAGAACTCATTACCTGCGTAGCATGCGCGGCAGATTTTGCCATTGTGTGGTTTCTGTGCACTTTCGATCGAGGAGGCCTCGAAGCACGCTGTCTGAATTGTCCGTTCATTAAAACGCACGTGCCTTCTCATTTCTGTTGGCACAACCTGTTTGCGTGATCTTCCATGTGTCTTTCGAGCACTACGATTCTCTTTCCGAGACGCCGGTTGTGCTTTTGACCTTTCCAACGCTCTTTCAAGCTGCGTTTTGCTTTCCACATGTGGAGGGCTACGATGTCCTTTACACCCATGCCAGCGTATTCGGGAACGTGTTTGGAGGCTTTCTGCACACTACGCTCAAGTGTGCCTGTCCACTTCTGTATATCTTCGATGTTGTCTGTCGCATCGCCCTCCCTTAGCTTACGAAAGGTGTTCCACTCAGTTAACAATATTTGTCTGCCTTTCTTTTTTTGCGAGCCCACTTGAAACACTCCGTATGCGCTGTAGTGATCGCCGCCTCGATGTACGTTCGTGTTGGTCCAACGCGGGTCGAATATATTCTTAATCTGAGGTCCGGCATAGTGTCTTTGCTGACGCTACTTCCCATTCTGGTTGGATCTTGTGGGTTGGTCACTAGCGTGAGCCCCTCGTGTTGCGCATCAAACCATAGGTTGTGGCCTTTAACGTTCTCAGTGGTGTAACCCCAGGCGGCGTGCGGTGCGTTGAAGTTTTCCACGATGATCAGTGCCTGTCTGCCTGCGACGTGTAGCACTTTTAATGCACCGAGGAAGCGCAGAGTTGTTATATGCGTGCGTTCACCCTGACAAGCGTTGAAAGCACATGCTAAACGGCTTTTTTATGTGACTTTAAAGAGAAAAGGAGAGAAAAGTGAGCCCCGTAACTGTCTGCATCAGAGTGCGACACCTCAACAGTAGCTCACGAGGGATGGGTGTAAAGGAGAGATTAAAAGGATAGAAATAAAAGGTAAAGAGATAGAGGAAGGAGAGAGCGAGGCGCAGGGACAGTGAACGACAGAAAACAACGGAAATAAAGAGGAGATAGGAAAGGTGGACACGGTCGCAGGAGTCTGAGAACGGGGCACCACTCGACGAGAGCTCTTGTCGGTGTCAGGAGATGGCGTAGGGCGAATGCAGTCGGCCAGAGCGGCGCTGTCGTCGGACATTGCGGTGGCACAACCGGTCAGCACGAAATCGAGAGAGCGAGTCCCTAGACGGCTCGACGAGCGATGTGGTTTTGTAAGAGGCAATGTTTATTGACAGTTAATGTAAATTGTCTTGTGTAGCAAGCAGATCATTACAACGTTCCTACGTGTGTGAAGATGTGGGAGTGAAAGTGAATGCTTAATTTTTGTTATACTAGATATTCTGTTGTATTCATGAGCAATGAAGCGAGCTGCGCAATTCTGGACAGCTTCAATGAATTTGATGAGGTAGCCCTGGTGGGCAGACCAGATGGCTGATGCATATTCGAGGTGAGGGGGTATGCAAGTTTGGTAGGCGAGCTTGCGAGTAGTCGTAGGTGAACTGATAAGATTACGCTTTAGGTAGCAAAATTTGCGTTGCTTTTGCAGTAGTATTGACTATGTGAGTGGACCACGATAGGTTAGGTGTGAAATGAATACCATGATATTTGTAGCAAGTTGTAATTAAGAGGCTACTGTAATATGCTAAAAATAAAAAGGTGACGGAGGATATCTGAGAAAACTTCTTTTTCTAACAAAGCCAAACGCAAAAATGAAATCCAAAAGTGGACCCAATTTCACGGGAACGTGATGCACACCTCAATGTAATTCATTTGGAAAATATTTGTGATCTGAATATATGTCTGTTCTCTATTGCAACGTAAACTCAAAAAAGTAGTTTAGAAAATATTAAAGATGTGCAAAATGCTCCCCCGTCGGAGAAGATACGCCTATCCTCTCCGCCACGTCGTGGGCCTATTGGACTGCCCATATCTGCGTCCTTAAATCCATACTGCGTAGCGCGGCATCCCAATTCGGCGATGTAACGTTTTCAACCCGTAACACAGAGCACCGCCAGAGCGTACATTGGAGATGGCGGTAGAAAATTAAAACTGAGTCCAAGACGGGAAACCCTGGCTCTAACTTCGCCAGCAACAACGAATATCCTCCAATATATATCAACACTCTAAATTTGCACAAATTCGATTACGGGAATAAACTGTCTAGGCGTCATCACGTGGCACCCGCGTTTTAACTGAAGCTTTAGCACCAACTCGCAGGGGCACAAAATGTTTCCATCAATACCTGTGGGCATCCCAGTCGAGTAAAGCCTCCTCCCAGCCATTTTGCAGTGGCTACGTGGTCGCGCAGGTACTGCTGGTAGTCGAGCAGCTGTGGTGCACCGAAGCGGTTGTGCGCTCGCAGGGGCAACGCGTATGGAATGCCTAGTGTCCGACGCACCCGGACGCCGTTCACCAGCTCCACAGTGCTGCCTGACGCCTCTCTGTCCACCGATGGCCCTCCGAAAGGACGCGCGGTCAGGCACAGGTGGACGAGACCCGTACTCACCACGCCACCCACCACCAGAGCGGCCAACACGTCTGCATAGGCGGGAGAGCACTGGCTGAACGAAACCCTGTGGCACGTTCTGTGAGCGCAACTGGATGGTTGTCGACCGTTCATCATGCCATATCTTGACGTACTGAATGACTAAACGCGTGCACAGTGCACAGTATACTGGCTTCGTGGACGTACGAATGTATGAGCCGTCTACTAATCCCAGTCAAGATGGGACGACCATGCCCTGTCTTTCGAAATACGCTGCTTCTACGGCAGTCACACGTACCCTTCTCCGAGACCCTCCATGGGCATTTCGTACGATGAAAGATGGCTGGTGCGTTTCCTCTATATTTGAGCCGCGACAGTCGACGGAGCTCACACGCTTTCTCTCGCACATAAAAAAATACGATTCATGGGTGATGTCCCTTGTACTTTACATAGAACCTCACGGCTACGTCGACACCGACGACAACATCGAGGTTGGAGTGTCCATCTGCGTTATCACAATAAATGTAACGCTGTACTGGTTACACCGTCACTTGCGACGCTTCACAGCCAGCACAGGCTCTATTACACCGTCATGGATGCACTGCACATCATGGATGCAAGCACGTGATACATGGGTAAAAGAACTTGGGGTCCATGTAGAGATGACATATTGTTACAACAGGTGGTTATCTTTTATTGAGAGATGGAACCATTCGGGAATTCAAATCCATCTCCACGGCTAAACGATAGTGACGCGCGGGTTAAAGAATAAGCGTTATGTACATGAACCTACTAGATAATTCGTTTTTTTTGTAACAGTGAAAGCTGTTATGAGATCAAAATACGCGTCACGCGTGGCGCCGTAGTTGTTCACTGCCGTCGCCACCGCCGGTGTCCGTAATCATAACCGAAATAAAAAAAAACTCCACAAATACAAAAAACACCATTAACGCAATGGGACTTGAACCCATTGTGTTAATGGCGCATGCCAGCAGAGTAGTCTACCAACAAGCCCCGCCAGCGCTTGGACCTCGTCTCTAAACTGGCCTTAGGGTGGCTTGACGTCAGGTAAGGAATCGGGATAACATGAGAAGTAAAGCGTTTTAGAACATCAAGGGAACATCCAGGCGTCACACAATGTGAATTGCGTAACAAGGGAACCAACCCATTAAAAAACTTGTTCTTGATCATCTATTAACTGCGGCGCATACCCACTTCAGGCACAATACTTCACCGGTGGCAGCCACTGCATGAAAAATTGCACAGAACTTGTAACAAGTGTGTAGCGGATTCCACGCTTCTGCGAAGAATGTCGAAAGATAGCATAGTGAATGCTGTACTACTACACAAAAATTATGATTATTTATGGCTTAGTGGGTACCCAGCAGTGTGATTGTAGCAGTTACTCAAAAAGAATTTAAAAAGGCTCTGAAAGGGCGCTCTTCTAGCTTTCGCTGTGTTTGTGCTGCGCGTTCCGTGCAGGCCTGGTGTTTTTTTTTAAAAATATTTACAGCTGACTTGGTTAACACAAAAATATATATAAATATAATCATGCATTACTGTTTCGTGATGGTATTACAAATTGGACCTATCGACTGTGTTGCGCATTAACCAGCCTTCATAGTTTACCCATAACACAAGTTTTTACCTGCCACCCCTTGTGCGCAGTCACCGAGTTGAAGATTGATACGAAAATTCTCATTTATTAACGATTAGCTGTTATGAACAATACACCAACATAGACGCTCTAAAGTGTTTTATAATCATGGCGCGTTTTATTTACACTTGATAAAAAATGGCCCAAACCCATGACTGGCTAAATATTTCATTTTGACAGACCTATTTAGTCATTGGTGCTACTATCTACAATGTACCTCTGTGGGGGATATGGCCCAACAATGAGATCTCGTTGCTCGGTGCATTAAAGGCTTCTATTATTTGTGGGTGCTCACACCGATGGAGTCGGTGTGAGCACCTACGCTGTCCTATGATCTGGCGGTGGATGGCTTTGAGTCAGAGGAACTGCCCGAGGAACACTGATGTCGACCTCCAGCAATTACAACAGAAAAATGTTTCCTTCAAAGCCCTATAGGACGAAAAATGGCAGATCCCATGCACATACACTGGGAATCGATGATATGCGAAGCACGAATGAGAAATGTTGATATGTCACTTTAAAATCAGCGCAACGTTACGAGGTGGAGCTAAGTGATGCCGTACATGACTTCCGTGTCATGATTATCATGTTTGGATGTGCCGTTTACCTTTGTCAGCTAATCACGTCACGTGATGCCAAATTTAGTATATGTGTAGCTAGTGAAACGGCCGCGAGCACGCTATGAGCGTGGTATGTTGTCATGTTTTAGCATGACACGCGTGTCACGATTATCATGTTTGCAGAATTCATATATTTCGTCATCTGTTGACGTCACATAACACCAAATTTGTTATATGTGGAGCTAGCAAAACGGCCGCGAGCGCATCATGAAGGGCTCAATATACTCCATTGTATCGTTGACGCGCGCGCACGCTGGGCACAGCGACGCTACTTTAGCAAAGCGCGAGCGCTCTGTAGTCTGACACCAGGCGCGACCAGCATCCGTCGGCGCGGCCCGACGGCAATCGGCACGAAATGTGAGATGCTGCATTTCGCGCCGATGCGTCACCCAGACAACACTGCGTCTCCCTCTTTTTGTGAAGGAGGGACGCCGGACGCACTGAAACGCGCATGCGTCAAAGCAACGCAGCACGGCGCGCGCCTGCGAGTACACGGCAGGACCGGCACCTGGCGTGGCAACGCCAGCGTGACGCGACCAAATGAACGCCGGAGAGCACGCACACCGCGTCAATTCGCAATGTATTGGCACCTTGACTGTGGCATACAGTCAAGTTCTCACATGACATGCATCTCATGATTATCCTGTTTGCACCAGTCACATACCTTCGTGATACATCAACGTTACGCAATACCAAATTTGGCGTATGTGAAGCTAGTTAAACGGCCGCGAGCGCATCATCAGTGTGGCATGTATTCATGTTCTTACATGACACGCATATCGTGATTATCATGTTTGTAGGTGTCATTTACCTACGTCGTCCGTTCTCGTCACGTAATACCGAGTTTGGTTCATGTGAAGCAAGTGAAACGGCCGCGAGCGCATCATGAGCGTAGCATGTAGTCCTTTTGTTACATGACACGCATCTCATGTCTATCATGTTTGCACCAGTATGATACCTTTGTTATTCATTCACGTCCCGTAATACCAAATTTGGTATAAGTGAAGCTAGTGAAAAGGCCGCCAGCGCATCATGAGCGTGGTATATGTAGTCATGTTGTTACATGACACGCATCTCATGATTATCATGTTTCAACCAGTCACATACCTTCGCCATCAATTCTCACGTACTGTAATACCAAATTTGGTATATGTGACGCTAGCGAAACGGCCGCGAGCGCATCATGAGCGTGGCATGTAGTGATGTTGTTACATGAAAGCATGTCATGATTTTCATGTTAGGGTCGGTCGCTTGTGTTCGGCATGCAATTATGCCATACCATACCAGTTTTCCAATATGCTATGTGAACGAATTTGCCGAAAGAGCTACAGGAATATGAAATGTAAATCGTGACATTCATGACGTACATGTCACGATTTTTATGTTGTGACTAGTCAAATATGTTCTCCATACAGTCATGTTATGTCATTGCAAGTTCGGTATCGATACCATTATCGAAATGGCCAGGAGAACAAAATTTTGTGGGTGGCTAGATAGATAGATAGATAGATAGATAGATAGATAGATAGATAGATAGATAGATAGATAGATAGATACGCTCAAAGTCACCGAAGTTCACTAAGAAGCGCTTCGCATTAAAAAAACAAAAAACTCGTTGTAACAGTGTACAGTAAGAATATAGAGCGCATATACGCTATAATACAGGCTATCTGCGCGGCGTGGGTTCGATAGACTTTATTGACGAGAACGAGCAAGCGACACACATTACATCAAATACCGTCAATACCGGTACGAAAGGATATGCTTGGCAATAAAAAAAGCCTCAGTGATCTCGCGGATGCGCAAAGACAGATCCTGCTGGACGATGGTGGCTTGACTGAAATTTGTGTTGCACGCTACGAGCCTGCTGTCATGATCCCCGTGGTTTTACGTGACCAAACCTCGAAATGGTTTCGAGCCACGCCTTTTGGGGGACTCCACATATTAATTTAGATGACCTAAATCTAAGGTTAAGTCACCGTGGCCGTGAATCAACGCCGTGCTTCTGAGCTTAGCAACACAACATCATGTTGCCGTTGTCAGTTCTTTAAGTTCAAGTGCAACTTTTCCCGTGGGCAGGCTCTCCGAGGTGTCCTTTGGTACTGCCGGCTATCGAAGTGCCTTAAAGAAAGGCACCAAGACAAAATGCAGTCCTAAATGCGGTATGGTTAGTCTAGAATTAACTGAAGTCCTTCCTTAAGGGCGTATAAGAAAATTTCGGTAGTTTTCATGGCTTCAGGTGAGCTTAACAGTTTACACAAAAAGATCAGTAAAAATGACTCTCCAATAACAATAAACATGAGGAGAAACATCAAGCGTCCTTCACTATAGCTGTACCACCGAAGTCATCTATACATTTTTCTGTGCAATGGCCCTTCCTGTGTAGTACAAAGCGGATGCTGCTTCAGTCATCGGCATCAAGAGCACGTGATGTTTGACAGCAACCCAGCCATAAAGTGCAGGTTCTGTAAGTGTAACTCAAACAACAGTATGTTCACCTTCATTAGGACGCATGCAGATTAGCGTTCATGAAAGTCACTTTCATTGTCAAGCGTGATTCTTCGAGCGCCTGTTGAACGTTCATCCAATTACGCAACAAGAAACTCACACAGATCAACGATTAGTATGTGTCTACACCTTCGTTCACCTTTGTCACACAAGAAAAACTGAAATTTTTGTTTGCCACCTATTTTCTGCCCTTTTTGTTTGTCGTATGTAGCTATACATTTCGCACTCGGGAATGGAGGTATTTTGGACGCCATCGCCAGAGTTGTAA